ATATACATATATATATACATATATATATACATATACACACACACACACACACACACATAATTGGCCTTGGTTCCTCTAATGTATCACCAAAGACTACTGGTGTTAAGCTGCCTTTGCCCTAAAATAAACCAAGACTCCACAAACGTTATGCTATGGACAGGAGGTGGGAGAAAAAACATTACATTTATACAATTTGCTCAGGACAGATTTTGATCCATGAAAGTTACTGCCAGTTTTTGTATCACTCAATTGCACATCCAGAGTACACTGCAGTACAATAGTGACAGGATTACCTTCAAGCATGCTTCTAAATTGGGTGTGGTGGCACATGCCTGTAATCCCAGCACTCTGGGAGGCTGAGTGGGGAGGGCTGAAAGTTCAAGCCCAGCCTGGATGACTTCAGTGACTTAGCGAGACCCTGTCTCAAAATTAAAAATAAAAAAGGGCTGGGGGGGCAGGGATCTAGCTCAGTGGTTCCGCCGCCTGCTGCGCAAGCACAAGGACCCAAGTTTGATCCCCCATACCAAAAAAAAGGGGGGGGGGTTGGGGAAGTAGCTCAGTGTGAAGGCTCCGGGTTCAATCCCTAGTAGCTTTGGGGTTGGGGGAGCATTCTATGTCCACAGCACAGCAGTATTCACAATCATCAAAACCTAGAAACATTAAACAAATGAGGTTTGTCCCTTTGGACAGTCACTTGAGTGGTACAGTAGAGTCTCATGTGACAATAAAAAGCCACGAAATAGCAACACAGGCTACCATATAGATGAACCCTCAGAATCATAGTAACTGAAAGGAGCCAGATGCAAGAGACCTTGCACTGGACAGATCTACACATATGGCATGTTCAGAAAGGCAAATCTGTATTAGAGACATCATGGAGATTAGTATGCGCTGGAGGCTGGTGGTAGGAATGGAGTGTGACTGCAAATGGCACAAAGGATTGTTCCAGTACTAGGGAAATGTTCTACAAATGGATAGTGGTCATGGTTGCACAACTCCAAGTTTACTAAAAACAATTCAACTGTACACCTTGAAAGGGTGTATTTTATAGCATAGTATTTCCCAGTAAAACTACACAAATGCATCCCGCTGTGTACCACAAGAGGAAAAAGGAAAAAGGCACATCACCTTAGAGAACAGGACATCTGAGACTGCCTAGATGATCCTGGATAGCTCCCGTGTTGCAGGAAGGAGGGAGAAAGAGATGAGGCCAGGGATGAAGATCTCTACTGTCAGTCATGATGAACCAGCGACCCCTCCACTTCTGGAGCGGTCACAGAGACCCAGCGGGCCAGAATTCCTAACGAACACACTCAACATACTAATTCACTGGCCTGTATACTTGATGCAATGGCTTTATGTTTCATAGGCCATTTGGGTCTAGAAAATTAAAAACTCATAAATAGCAGGAGCTAATCTTTTTCACACGAAATAATAGTTAAAAGTAAAACAAGTAAGTGAATGTGCTCTCTCAGAACACATTAGTTACTACTAATCCTATTAGGGTTAGAGAAATTCACTAGGTTAAGAGGATGAAAAATCAAGCAAATAGTTAGAAAACAAGTTCCCCGAATATAAGAACATTTAGAATATATGTATATAACCTAAAATACTATATAATACATATCAGATATATATATGAATATAAGAACTGAAACTGACATTCATTCAGTGGCTTTTCAAATATTAAAGCACAGCAATAATGCTACAACCATCTTACAAAACACTGTAACTAAAAAATAATACAGGTTTCTTTTCTTCCCATTCTGGGAAAAAAACATCTAGTGAAGCCTCATCTTCCAATGAAGCATGAATTTTCTTTTTTCCCAGTAACTATGAAAAATGGATTATTCTACAAAACAATGTTCCTTAATAACTTGTTAATTTAACATTTTTCAGGTCAACTATTTTAATATTATGGTCTGATAAAAATATTTCACATTACTCAATGCACTTGTTTTTTGGGAGTTTTTTTGGGTACCAGGGATCAAACTCCGGACCTTGCACTTGCAAGGCAGGCGGCAGAACCACTGAGCTAAATTCCCAGCCCTCAATGCACTTGTTATACCGATATAGTTGTGTTACCAAGAAAATTCTCTAAAGAAAACAAATGGCATTGAAAACCCAGCTGTAGCCACGTACAGTGGCACATGCCTGTAACCTAGCTGTTCAGGAGGCAGCCAGGAGGATCCAAGTTCAAGGTCAGCCTGGGCAATTTGGTTGGGCCCTACCTCAAAAAGAAAAACAAAAGGGCTGGGGATGTAGCTGAGAGGTAGAGCACATGCCTAGCATATTCAAGGCCCTGGACTCAACTCTTAATATAGCAAAATAACAGCTGTTTCACTAGGGCAAAGGGATTCCTGCAGCTCTGGCTGAGTTCACAATAACCAAGGCTGTCCTTACCTTGTATGAAACAAAAACAAACAAAAACCCCAAAAAAGGGACAAAGGAATTGGCATTCAACCCATGTCCTGCCCTCCCTTCATCATGTTTCAGCAAAGTCACTGATGTGGGTTCTGGATCTTCTTCTTTGAACTCCTAGAGCTTATTTCCCTAGGTCAATTTCTTCCTATCACACCCATCAACCTCACACACACACACCTGTCCTAACCTCCCAGTAACCACACAGCTGCTGCTCCTTTCGTCCTGTGCAGGTCCACTCACTTCTTTTACACCTGGCTCTGGCTTGCTCATGACTGCCCCAAGTCTGTCCTCCACTAAGCTTAACAACTCCTTACTGTTATTTCCCCTCCCCTTAGATCTCAGGGAAAGCTGCTCCACATCTCAGTCCAGGCAAGGCCCTGCACCATCACTGCATCTACCTTAGGCGCTGGTAGTCTACTGTGTTTAGTAGCATCACTGAAAGATCCAATGCCATGGCTGTGTGATTTATATAAAACAGTACTGTACTATAAATCAGCTTTTTTTCCCAATCAACATATTTTTAAGAGTCTTTAGGTACTGCCTGATGCATAGTACGTGCTCCCTAGAAAGGAAGCACTGCATTTTAACTCCTCCCCTCTCTGCTGGCTCCAACTCCATAAACCCATAAACCTAACCCTACACAGACAAATCCCCATGGATGGCCATGTGTACATGCTCTCCTGTTGAGCACCCCCAGGGGTAAATCTGAGACCACTGGGTCACGGAGGACCACCCACTGTGGCTCTCCAACGTCACTGTTTGGTAACACTGCACGTACTTACGACCACTCAGGTTTTCCCTCCTCCAAACTGGCTATTTGTTGTCCATCTACTGACTTCTCTATACTTTTTGTCGATTTACAAAAGTTCTTTATGTATCTTAAGTTATTAGTATCTCGCAAATCTTTGACTATTTTAACTTTCTTCTTCCTATTTTTTTTTTTTTTAAGACAGGGTCTCTCTATGTATGTAGTTCAGGCTGGGCTTGAGCTGACTACGTAGCCCAGGCTGGTCTTGAACTCACGGTGATCCTCCTGCCTCAGCCTTCCCAGTGCTGGGATTACAGGCATGGGCCAGCATGCTCGGCTGAAAAAAAAAAACCTTTAACTTTGACAGAATACAATAAACCCATTACCATCTCATGTTGTGGTTCACGCTTTTTGGGTTTTTATTATGAGCTTAAGTTTTTTGTCTTTTTTTTTTTTTTTGGTACTGGGAATTAAACTCAGGGCCTTGTGCTTGCCAGGCAGGCGCCATATCACTGAGCTACATCCCCAACCCTAGCAGCTTAACTCTAACATGAGTTTTCTAGTATCTTCTATTAGCAGAAAGTTTCACACTTCAAACATACAGCAGTCCCCTTTTGCCTGTGGGTTTCACCCCCCAAGACTCTCAATGGATGCTGAAACAGCTGACAGATAGTACTGAACCCTAAGTACAACCCCAGCACAACT